ATGTGAAGTTAATTAGCGTTGCTTCATTTATGCAAATATAGAGGGATTTGGACATTTCTGGACAGTTTCTTTTTCAGATCAAACTTCCAATGCAGCACAAGTACACATTAGCAGGGGTGCACATAACTGGTATGCAGGTACGCATGCGCGGCAACAATCTGAAATGCGTACCGTCACTTGTGTCACAAAGCGCATTTGCGTACCGACGTACTTGTGAAGCTTTTCCAGAAGGCGGTTAGATCACCGGACGACAGAGTCGGTCTCCGTGTGCACAGACAGGGCTGCTGTTAACGTCGGTCTGTACAGCAGCCCTGCGCTAAAACAGCTGATCACAACGTTCACACGCTCCGCGGTCACGGAGCGCTGTACTCCACTACCCCCCCCTCCCGTTGACAATCGCCAGAAGTTGGAGTACCAAACACTGACTCCAGGTACTCATCTGAGTACCTCACTGAGAAAGTTGTGTGCACCCCTGCACATTAGCCTGTAGCTAGATGTGTGGCAGAAGACACTCAAGACTTGCTAGAATTTCCGGTAGTTATCTTATTTTTCACTGAAGTTGAACCATCTGCATTGTTGCCTCTACTACCTTTCCATTGACCTGAACTCTATACTTACGTGCCATCTCTAGTATTAGCATTCTTTATTCTGAACAAACCAATATGATAATGTAAGGGCACAGGCTGGAGCTCAATTCTGCCACATAGTGCCTTTGTTTGGGACATAGTATAGTATATATAGTGTTATTTTTGCTCACTAGAGGAAGGACATGTTGACTGATCAGACTGCAGAAGAATTAGTGCTTTGAGCCCAATAAATAAAGTGCACACCCTTGTTTGAACACACAACCCAAGCAGAAATAGCCTCATTCTGGTTATGCTGACCACACACAACGACACACACTCACAAACAAACCATTTCATTTCCTTTTCACAGCCAGTTTAATTTTGTGTTTTGTGATAGCGCATTATTACTTTTTCAATTCCAACATAAAGCTCTCCTTCCAGCTTTTTCCTTTTTGACTGTTGTTCCTTTTATGTCACCCATATTTTCTCTTTACATTTCTGCTATTATGACCTAAAGATATTGTACAGTAATCCATATGTGTTTATAGTTGACTCAGTTAGTTACTTATTGCACGTGTATGTACACAAACATGCACAAGAACCAACTCTGAAATTCAGCTGTTCAGCTCATTGTCATTCATCTTAAATATATGCACACTATTTCAATTTCTGCTCCGTCTCAGTTTATCTCCGTCTTGCTCCCTTTCTCTCAGGCCAACTCCCCCCCACACTTGGGCACACATACATATTCACCCCATGAATATTCATAAGCATATTCTCTATCTGTGAGATCATGATGAAATGTTCTCAAGGCCCACTATGCTCATGTGTATTTGTATATTTGTGTGAATATAGATGACTTGAGTGCCAACGGGTATTTCTCACTTGTAAATAATTCTGCAACAACTTGGTAGAAGCACACAAACTGACACGCACAGAAATCCAAGTGCACTCAAAAGAGGTCCAAAAAGAAAATATATCTAAAAGTATGTTTTTTTTCAATTTTGTTTAGGTCATGGTTCTCATGGTGTCATGGTAATACAGTGCAGTTACAGTGCAGGCGTGTTGAAATAGCAACCCTCCTATACTAGCCTAATAAAAGGTATTTATAAAATAGATGTTGCCCTTTTTTCAGTAACACATGTAAAGTCAACTGAAGATTATTGGTATACTTTAAATCCCATATAGCTAAACGGACTGTGGGCCCACATACAACATGAAATCAATTCCAGGTTGTCTGCATACAGTACGAAAAGAACAGCCTTCACCTCTCCTACAAATGATAGTCTTAAATAGACCCAATCCATAAGGGCAACAATGATGGTGGAAAAGAATAACCTGTCCTTTGGGTTCGTAAATATATCAGAATATATCGACATAGTTTAAGAGAAGAGAGAAAATACTTTTGCCAAAAAGTGTTCCACTCATATTTGCAATCATAAGGGGGCTTGCATGGCATTAGCGATGGTAGTGTTTTTGAATAACTGTTTGAATGTTTTTTTAAATTTGAAATGTGATCCAATCCAATATGGAAAATAACTATTTCCAACACACTAAACATATGAAGTTAACAGTAAAAGCCTTACCTGTTCAACATAATGTGATTATGTTATTAGACCAGGTCAAATGAATGTGATTTTGTTGTACAGTCTAAACCAGCCTAGTATGGTATAGTATGTGCTTGTAGTTTGTTCCTGCATTCAGGCCTATAGTGGTTCAAAATGAAATGCAGGGAGTTATGAAACCATTACATTCATATTTAAAACTAAGAGTTATTTAAATTCCCAAAGCTCACAGGACTGAGTATTCGTGGAATATAAATCAAAACATTTGGCTTGCACAAATAAGGGGCTGTGAGCTGGACCAAGATATTCTTGATATGAATGTGCAATAAACACAATATGCTCCTCTAGTCTCTATCCGACCAAAAGGCAATCAATCAATTGCTTTTACTTATAGTATGCTTTGGTCATAGAGATAAGTGATGAATGTTGAAATGGAGCTGAAATTAGCAACGTTTTTCCATTTTGAGTGAGTATGGTATTCACTTCAAGTGTATTTACATGATATGTCAAGGACAGTGTAGATAAGAGTACTCATGTATGTAGATAGGTGCTTAGGTTCACAATTATGTAAGAAAAAAGGGACAAGATTGCGCATGCAGAAAGAGAGGGAGAGAGGGGAAGAAAGAGAGAGAGGAGAGAGAGAAAAAACACATTTGATTGCATGGCTGAATAATTGATAGAAAGCTATTACGGCTGGTATGAATGCCTCTAGGTGTCACACACACACAACCACACACACACACAAAGAAGAACCACACAAGTGTACAACTATGTGTGTATGTGTTTGTGTTAAGTATTTGATTTGCATGATGTGTGTTTGTGACTAGTGGTTAGCGTGTGTGTTGCTGAGTTGGTGTGAACATATTAGCAGCTTAGCTCCTCTTAGTCTCACTGTCAGAGTGACAGAGTCATTGCTAATCCTGCCATGACAAGTTGCCATTTCCCCCTCTTCCCCCTCTACTCCCTCCTCCCAATGTGTCTTCCCTAGACCCGAATTACAGTTCCCTGCACAGTGAGTTATGCTGTATCAAGGCGACCTTGACGATGCCTTGTACACTGGATTGTAGCACTTTGTTTTGCAGTTCTAGTTAGATGTTTACTACATTTGTGTTTGTAAAATGTACTGGACTTGTAATTGTAGACATATGTTCAAGTCAACATCTAATGAGTACCTGGATTCTGTTCTGTTTATTTGATCAAAAAGGCTCCTGCAGTTGTCAATACCATCATGTTCACTGTCATAGCACATGAACCATCATGTTCACTGTCATAGCACATGCATATTGGAGATCATGTTTCCAGTGTGTCTCCTTTTGTTGACAGTCAGCTCAAATCATTGCAGCAGTTTCAGTGCTTTTTCTTTCTTTCTACTGGTTGATGGTTGATCTCCACACTAAGAAGTTCACATACCATGAACTGATATTCTTCCAAGTTCAATACAGTGAATTGAACTCCCTCTCTCCTATTGGGGATCCCCTCTGAGAAGTGGCCTCTCATGTGTGTCACGGTTAGGAGTTCTTTTGGATGAGTGACTGTATTGCTTATCAGATCTACAACCAAAGTGCACTCAGGTGGAGTGGCACAGTTCAATATCTGAGTCATCAAATGCTGGATGAAAGGTGATATTTTCTGCCTCAGATTGAAAGCAGGCCTACATGTTCTCCCAAAGCAAACTAAAGGTATACTTGTATCTATGGTATATGCTCTTGTTCATTGTGTTTTTTTGTCAACATTTGCATGTAGGTGATGGTAATTTAGATTAACAGCAACAAAGCAGCCTGGGCCAAATAAAGTAAAATAGGTGTAACATAAGGTTATTTGTTCCCCTAGCATTTTCTAACGCTTCAAGAGTGCAGTCAGTATAAGGGTATTGTACATGGTGCATGTGGCATTAAGGCTGTGAAACTAGTGTCAACTCTGTCATGGCACCTCAAACTCCAAACCAATCAACTCCATTGCCATGTGGGTTTGTAATGGATGTTTTAACATTTTTAAAGCACCTCCCGGTTTCATGTGAATAAACACAACCGTCTTAGGCTGACATTGAATCAATTGTGATCTATAACAATCAACTAGTTAGGCAGTAAAATACGTATGACCATTACTTACTTGCTACTCACTCATCTAGAGAAAATCAGACACTCTTACATTGAAATCATATTTTCATTTAACTTGCATTGCAGATGGATTTATCGCTATATTACACAACATTCATCCAGTCAGACAACCAGTGTCTGGACCGATCAACTATAATGGACTTTTACACTACATGCCAACCTTTACAGAAACATACAGATGTGTGTGATTAAAAATATATATGCAAATGTATAATGTGTAATAAATATATACAAAGTTTACATTAAGACTATGACAAGTTAATCTATTAATACTAATTAACATAGTGTCACAACATACAGTGTGCACACAGATCATTTACTGTACACCTACCCAGAAATGTAAAAATAGAGAATATCATACTCACACAGATCTTTGATTATAAAGTAGACATGACGAGGAACACAAACACGCACACTATCCGCACACACACAACAGACAAGGATCCCTGGATTGCCTGCCTGGCTCACTTTCAAACACACTCACACAGATGCATGCAACGTGTGTCTGTCTCTCACAGACACACATATACAGTAAATGTTCATTATATGAAGGGTTTTCTTCCAAAACCATATATATTCTAAATCATAATTAATATAATATTGTCAAGTGTTCTTTCAAAAATAACCAGCATCTAGCAGCCGATTCTGATGTATGTTTGTGACTATTGTTTTCATTTAATGATATTTAACTTGAGAGGAAAACTCTTCATATATAGAGTCATGCACGTACACAGAGGTTTAGTGGTCCATACCTCGACAGATCGGAGCAGGGAAGTCCCACACGGCGGTGTTCCCAGCATTGGTGATACAGGTGAGCGTGGCATGGCCGTCTAACACGTAGCCAGGCACACAGCTGTACTGAACACTGTCGCCCACAGCAAAACGCCCGGCACCACTCAGCAGCGCTTTGGGCGGGACCCCCGGGTTTCCACAGGATGTACTGTGGAGTTCTGCAGAGGAAGAGAGAACATGAGAAAGAGATTTGCGTTAAAATCAAATCGACCATCACTCAACCACAGCTCAATGATGCATCCAATCCAAAGGCTGCTCTGGAGCAAACAGTCCACACAGTACTTCCACCATTAAAAACACAGTTTCCCAGACACCCGCATTGTGATGACGCGGTTTAAAAACCTGCCTAGGCCTACAGTATAGCTCTTTATAAGACATTGCCTTGCACAACAGCTGTACAATGAAATGTAACTGCACTATCAGTCAAAATGAACTAAAGCCAGTCCCAGAGAAATGGAGAAACACAATATGATATAGTTCCATAGTTAATCCCATCATTCCCTAAAGAGACATTTACAGTTCTGTGCCCAAGACATATGCAGTGAGCAAATAAACATCTGCACATGCAAACACACACAAAAGCACAAACAAACACACACACAGAAGGGAGGGAGACCGAGAGGGAGAAGGAGAGAGGGGGTATTACATGCCATAAACCAGGAAGTAGATGGGAGAACAGGGACCAACTATGGTCTTATTGTTTGAACTTGATTGATACAACTATGAAACTGTTCAGACAGATAGGGGGTTAGGGAGGGGAGAGACAGATTGGGTAAGGGTTAGCTAGAGGCAAGAGCGGAGAGAGACAGGAAGAGGGGGAGTTGGACAGAAAAAACAAGAGACAGGGGGAGGCAGAGGACGCCCATCATGATAGATAGAACTATAAAACTTCTCAGACAGAAGGAGGGAGAGAGGGAGGAAAGGAAAAAGTTAAAAGGAGAAAAAAGATGAATTCATAGTGGTCGTGAGAAAGATTATGGTCCCAAATGAGAGGGGGCGATAGCTGCTCTTTTTCTTAAAATGTCACAAGAAAATCTGAAAATCTTAACTCCTCAAACATATGCACTATCATTTAAAAATGAGTCCAGCTGCTAGGGAATCTTTTCCATGCCCAAACGGCAAGAAATTGTAATTATTATTCACAAAGTGGGATAGGAAGATTTGATGTCAGCAAATGAAACGATTGAGTGATTCTTAGTTGGCTATTTGATTCATTTATACAATGACTTTATTGCCATGCCTTTTCAATTACACCCTATTCCCTCGCTCCACCCTCCCAATCTCCATACCTCCTCTGCAGCCACAGTGCTGGGGATTACTCTGAGGATTATGTGCACATTTCACATTTTGTCATTGGTCACACACAAACAGTCCTTTTAGTTTATTTTAAATGAAACTCGCTACCTTTTTATTATTAGCTTCCATCTGAAATGTGATGGGGTCCACTAGACCAAAGCTTGTGGATCATTTAAAAATAGCTATAACTAGGACAAAAATAACAACAGGAATAACTTTGCCTCTAAATAAGTATCCTTTGCAGGAAACAAAAAAACACCCAAGCATGCCCTCAAGGGCTGTAATTAGTTGATATATGAAGTTTCTGTTTAAGGCTTTTTTAAGGGGGTTATTCAATCCCAGTGCTTACAGAGCATGGACAACATAAACGGGAGAGGAAAATCGGTTTGCTCAAGACCCTGATGGACCTCCCTGCGACTGCCATCCTGCTTATCTCCACACAGCCACACAGTTACAGAGAAAAGCACACTGACAAGACACATTTGGACACTAGCACACATACACACACATACATACTCAGGGTCATCCATCACTGTGGCGACCCCCTGTGCTGTATTGTGATTGGATGTCATGTGTGCCTAGTGTTGCGACCTGTTGGCCTATTGATTTTGCCAGTTAGTGTGGCCCACTCAGTGTCAGGATGTTTGGTGGTGGGTGTCGTGGAAACACATTTACTCTCGGAACACACTCACCCAGAGAAACACATATGTGCACAATCAGTGCCGGTCTGTTGGTGGTCCAGGGTATTATCCCATGCACACGCACACAGTACACACACACACACAGTACACACACACACACAGTACACACACAGTACACACACAGTACACACACACACACACACACACACACACACACACACACACACACACACACACACACACCACACACACACACACACACACACACACACACACACACACACACACACACAGAGACAAAGGCATGTATGCAGAGCAGACACAAGCATACAGCAGCTATTTTCAACCACACGCACGCACGCACGCACGCACGCACACACACACACACACACACACACACACACACACACACACACACACACACACACACACACACACACACACACACACACACACACACACACACACACACACACACACACACACACACACACACACACACACACACACACACACACACCACACACACACACACACACACACACACACACACACACACACACACACACACACACACACACACACACACACACACACACAAAAGGAAGAATCCTGCTATGCTTTCAGAGTTTTTAGTGAGACAGATGACACCACAGACTGGAGGGTTGTGAGGGGGAGTAAAGGACAGAGGAGACATAAGGAGAGACACTGAGAGGAAGAAAGAACAAGGAAAGAGAGGCAGAGACTGAGAAGGATGATTCAATAAGTTTGAGGGTTTTACGCTTCTGTCAGCAGTAACTTCTGTAAAAGATGAACCAAGTTTGTTTCCGGAACATAAAATATGCTGAGACGCATAATACATAAAGCATAGAATCTGTTACAAGAAAACATGTACATGGATTTCCATTAACTATATCTGAAAACATATTTTCAAGAATTCTGTTGAAGACATTTACTGTAAATGATGCAAGGTTTATAAGGACGGCAACAGATCAGACGGATGGGTTCTGAGGTCTTTAACAAACAGATGTGTTCTGGGTAATATAATCTATAGAGGTTACAACTTCTGATTCTGTTTCCTGTCAGTTTTATTTGTTCAACACACAAAACCTTTGAACTCTTTTTATAGAGCTATGAAGAAATGGTGCCATAAAAAATATTTCCAAAGTTATTATTCACAATGACAATTGTGCACCCAAAACCTTTTTTTACACGTGTAACCCTTTTTGGTGTTACTTACTGTTTTTAGTAATCTTAAAGTTGCATATTTAATTATTAATTAGTATTAATATAAATCTCTGTGGAAGATTTTCTTTTATGTCCATAGGGTTCATTTTGGAGAGAGGATTATGCAGAATTAGACACACGGATATGTTTCATTTTAGCCCTCGCGTGTTGCTAAATGTCTTTTTATGAATATACATTAAGGTTTTTCAGCCTGACATTGGCATTTCAACACAGCTTGGAAAAATATGATTGACAGTTTCCTATTAAGAGTGTTGGATTACCATTACCGACTGAATTAAAAGCTTCTGGAGTTGCTGAAGTCAAATGTCACGTGTAATTGAATGTGATTTGGAGAGGGAAAACTTATTTTTAGAATATTTTTTCTTTGGTACCAGCACAAGCAATATGGAAGGAAGGGCAAGTACCATCCCCAACACAGTAAGATATATTGTCAATGGCAAGTCTAATTATTTTAATTGTTAGCAGGTTTAGCCATCAAGTTGGGAATTTCTCGATATACACATTTGATTTGATTAGACAGTCAAAACAAATATTAAGCTGTAGCACCTACCAGGCAGTAAACAATCATTCATTTCACTAATCCATTCGCTATTAATGTTATTTACTTTTATATTTGTATTATTAGTATAGGCATGCTAGAATCAGTGTTAAACAAAGCAAATGGGAGTGCTCTTTGGAAAAAAGTCAGTAAAGTTAAGCTGAGGTTGAATTGCAGATATAGTGGAGCTTGGAGAAAGCCATATTTCAGCCTCTATTGCATAACAAGAACACACCCTTACATTTGTAATATTGACAGTGGAAATGCTATTCCTCAAACTATCCATCCAGTGTTAGAAAGTTGCTGCAGAGCTGTCAGGCCACCGTCATTCATACTAGCATTCAGGCAATTTCCTCAAAATCTAACTATGACAGCTCAACAATCACTGTTGGGATAATATTGAAATATTATACACACTTGTGTGAGTTTTAATATGGAAAGATGAATGTCAAGATGAGATATCCACAATTTGAAAACTGTGACATCCTTTTCTGCAGAAGCTTTAACAGCATAACATAGAAAAAGCTACTGAAAAGCCCACTATTGGGTATCATGCTGAGCAAAAAGAAAGACAAAGGGATCTAAGGAAGGAAGGAATGCAGGATACTATTTCACATTCTATTTTAAAGCAACAATAAATAAGTGGGTTTAACAACTGCATGCCTAATAAATGCTTAAAGAGAGTGATAAAGAAAAAGGGGCCAACTAAAAAGGAGTGCATAAGTAGTCACTGCACTGCTTGATAAGAGAAGTTAGGGGTGGACACTACACCACTACACAGCAAGAGACACGGTGAAATACGCAATAATGCAACGATACAACAGCCCCCACAGTTCCTCCAACCATCACTATCCACCGTCCAATAAGAGGAACAGCGGGGGATAAGACCATAGTCCTATTTCAGACAAATTCCCTCCAGGTCTTGAGTCTACTTCCTGTGGCGAAGCAAAGAAGAAACTCCATCAACATAACTAGTCATTTAACACCTCTTTTTGTATTTATGTCCTGGTATAAAGACTTTAAAGTTATTATAACTAGAGCAATGCAACATAGGAACAACAAGGTCTGACCTCTACAGATTAAGCTAAAGGAGAATGGTCTTTAGGTAAGAAGCACGACATTTCCTCATTCTCAATATAAAAGGATATCTCGATCAAGAGCATGACGTGAAGAAGATACTTCAGGCCAGGGACTGCCAAATAAATAATAGATGTTATATTGTTCTTCAAAATAAACTGTAAGAGGTATGTGTCCGATAACTGTGGTCCTTAAGTACAGTATTACTCTTCAAAATAATGAAAAGTACCTTACAAGAGTATGTCTCTGCAGTATTTGTATAGAGATAATGGCCATATCCCACCTCTGTGAATTACAGAAGGGAAAGCATTCAGGGTAGTTGGCTTTAGACTTTACACATTTCTGCAGCAATCATCCA